TCCTAGTGATTATAAGGTGGAATCTCATTATGTTCCTGATTTGCTTTTGATGGCTAATGATGTAGAGCATCTTTTCATAGACTTGATGGCCATCTGTGTGTCTTCTTTGCAGAACTCTATTCTAGTCCTTAGCCCATTTTAAATTGGGTTGTCTTTTTATTATTGAGTTTTCAGATTATTGATAGTGGGTTTTGCCCCAAAGTTTTAATTTTGATGAACTCTGATTTATCTACTTTTATTGCTTGTACTTTTGACACTGTATCTAAAAAGGTTTTGCTTAACCTAAAACTACAAAGATTTACTCCTCTGTCTTCTTCTGAGTTTTAAGGTTTGGGCTCTTACCTTTGGGTCTGAGGACCATAGAGTTAAATCTTGTGTGTGTGAAGCAGTTCAACTTTGTCCTTGTGAATGTGAATATCCAGTTGCCCCAACACTAATTAGTTATTAAAAAGGACTGTGCTTGTGTTTTAATTTGTTCTTCTTAGATCTACATGACAGTAGGATGTATTTTGACATATCATACAGACATGGAACATAACTTAGTCTAATTAGGATCCCATTCTTGTGGTTGAACATGACATGGAGTTACACTGGTCTTGTATTCATATATGAACATAGGAAAGTTATCTCTGATTCATTCTACTGTCTTTCCTATCCCCATCCTCTTTCCTTTTCCTAGGCTGTCTCCTTTTGAAGCTCCCTTGTCTTCAGAATCACTCTACTTGTCAAGGGTCTAGGTTAGAAAATCATTCTTTCGTCCTCCAGTGTTTGATTGTGGTCAAAGTGCTCCATCTCATGGGTGACCACAGAACACACAGCTTCCTTCCAGCTGTGCAGAAGGAAAGATATGGCCCCAATTTCCTAGAAGACAGGTTCAGAAATCTCACGAAAAGCCAAAACAGAAGATTTTTAGATCTCATTATGCCAAAAAGGATGCTTAATACTTATTTTAAATCTTCCTTTTCCCTTACTCCAAATGTAGGCCACACTGCTTAGGACCAGTCCCATGGATCACCAACTCCTCTTGCTTCTCCCATGGAGCATGAAGTAACCCCCAGGGGACTTTCTTCCAAGGAACCAGCAGATGGATCTGATTGTGGACTCAGTGAGCTCCCCTGGCAGTCTCCAGGGTGGGTGCTCAGTTCCCCAAAGATAAGGCCTGTGGAGGTCAGGGGTTGGGGCTCTGAAGCCAGATTGCTCTGAATCCAGGCGCCTGGGGTTATGATGTGAGAATGTGAGCTGGTTATCTAATTATACATGTTATACGTTCTTCTGTAGAATGAGGCAAACAATGAAACATAGCTGATAGGTTTCTCTGAGGTTAAAAGAGACTAACACCGGGAAAGGGGCATGGGAAATGAGCACAAGACCTGCATATACTCAGGGAGACCAAGATCCCTCCTGGCAGGTGGGGCAGCCTACAGGCACTTCCAGGCTGCCTCTCTGGATACTAGGTATTTCTCCCCAACCCCAGCTCTACCTATTTCTCGCATCATGCCATCAAAACTCTGAAACACAGTCACCTACAACAATCTTATTGAACAGAAGTTAGAAATTTTAAGTCCAGTTCAGTAGTGAAAAATGTAAGAAAGTCAAGGCAAACTTGAAGTAGTATCTTCTTGAATGGAAATAGAGACAAATATTTGGGAAAGATCAAACTGACAGATCCCAAAGCACTGGGGTTCTTTTAGTTCACACAGATATTTTTTGGCTTTATTCTACTTTTAGGTAAGCGGGTGTGTGTTTGTGTGTGTGTGTGTGTGTGTGTGTGTGTGTGTATGTGTGTGTTTTCAGGTGTGCCTAAATCCATGGCTCTTTTTGGACAAATAAATAAGGGGTCATGAAGGCTTCCACCAAGATTTCAAAGGAACACCTGGAAGCCAGGAAAAGTGTTGCAGGATCCAAGTCCTTGTGGGTTGCCCCTGAGAGACCAAAGCTTGAACTGAGACCCAGGGAATAAGAGATGCTAGTAACATGGACGGTCAGCTGAGCAAAGCTGGGGGCTGCAGAGACCACCAGACTAAAAGAGAGCTGGTGTGCACTGCAACCGAGTCCTGAGGAAGTAATCCCTCACAGTCACGTGTCCTGGTTACTGTAAGTGGACTCAGGGGCCTCTTTGCCCAGCTGAGTCTTGGTCTTATTTTGGCCCCAGTCCTTCTTCTATGCCCTTGTCCTTCATTTTGAAATTGGAATGATTATTCTGTGCCACTGTATTTTGAATATATGAACCTGGGATTTGATTTTTACAGGAAATCACAGCCAAGAGTTGGTCTTGAGTCTCGGAGGAGACTTGAGATGTGGACTGGACTCTTGGCCAGTGCCAGAGCTGTGGAGACTATGAGACTCTTGGAGATAAACTGGATGCATCTTGCTCTGTGAGAAGGCTATGAGGTATTTAGGAAAGACAGAATGTTATGGTTTGGATGTGAGGTGTCCCTCCGAAGCTCCTGTTAATGCAAGAATATTCAGAGGTCAAAGCAGTAGATTGTGAAGGCTGCCATCTAATAAGTCCATCCTATTTTGAATGAACTCACTGGGTAGTAGTTGTAGGAAGGTGGGACATGTTTAGAGGAGTTGGGTCACTGGGCGTTGGCCCTGGAAGCGTTGTTTTCCTGTGGCCCCTTCCTAACTCTGCGTCCTGAACACCGTCTGTTGATACATTTCCTCCTCTGGGCCCTTCCTCCATGATGTACTCCCATACCTTGGACCCCAAGCTAGTAAGACAGTCATCTATGATCTCTGAAAACATGAGTCCCAAACAAACTTTTTCATCTCTATGAACTTCTTGTTGCATATTTTGGTCACAGTGACACAAAGATAACCTCTTCAACAAATATTGCTTGGAAAACTGGGAATTCATATGTAGCAAAATGAAATTAAACCCCTATCTCTCATCATACATAAAACTCAACTCAAAGTGAATCAAAGAAAGGCACTAGTAAACAGACCCTGCACCTAATAGAAGAAAAAGTAGGCCCAATGTTCATCATGTCAGCTTAGGGAAGTACTTCCTAACAAGACTCCTAAAGTGCAAGAAGGAAAACCAAGAATCAATACATGGGATGGATTCAAACTTAAAACCTTCTTCTCAGCATAGGAAACAATCAATAATGTGAATAGAGAGCCTACAGGATCAGAGAAAATCTTTAATCACACGTACCTCATATAGAGCATTAAACTCCAGAATATATAAAGAACTCAAAAAACTTAATATGAAAAACCCCACAAATAACCCAGTCAATAAAAGGGCTAAGGAACTGAACAGATACTTTACAGAAGAAGAAATATAATCAATCAACAAATATATGATAAAATGTTCAGCATTTCTAGCAATTAGAGAAATGCAAGTCAAAAATATTCTAAGATCACATCTCACTCCAGTCAGAATGGCAATTATCAAGATTACAAGTAACAATAAATGTTGGCAAGGATGTGGGAGAAAAGACACACACATACATTGCTAGTGGGACTGCAAATTGGTACAACCACTATGGAAAGCAGTATGGAGATTCCCAGAAAACTTGGAATGGAACCACTGTTTGACCCAGACATCCCATGCCTTGGTTTATACCCAAAGGACTTAAAATCAGCATACTACAGTGACCACAGCCACATCAATGTTTATAGTAGCTAGCCTCACAATAGATAAACTATGGAACCAATCTAGGTGCCCTTCAACAGACTAATGAAGAAATGTGGTATTTGTACTGTAAAGGTCGGGCGAGCGTCGGAGGAAGAGACCACCAAGAGACTGTCTCATGCAACAGCAAAAGGTTTATTGGGGGTCCAGCATGCTGGGGCTCAGAGCTCACTTGAATAGAGCAGAAAGAGCCCTGAGAACAGCTTAAGCAGAGCTTATATACTTTTCTTGGAGAGGGCAGGGAGGGAAGTTCATTGACGGGTCAGGGCGAGTGATCGGTTTGCCTGCAACCGAGTGAGGGAGTGCATTCTGCAGTTTGGCAGTTGGGGACAGCACATTCTGGGAACAAGATTAGCAAACAGTTCTCAAGATTTCAACAGTGTTTTGTTAAGCATACAGAAAAACGGAGTGACAAGTACCTATTTTATTAACCTTTCAGTACACAATGGGATATTACTCAGCCTTAAAGAAGAATGAAATTATATCATGTGCCAGTAAATGTATGGATCTGGAGAATATCATGTTAAGCAAAATAAGCCAATTCCAAAGAAACAAAGGCCAAATGTTTTCTCTGATATGTGGATGTTAATTCATGGGGCAGAGGTGGGAGGTGGGGGGCAGGGCTAGGGAAGACTACAGGTACTATGGATTAGGCAGAGGGGAATGAAATGGAGGGGAGGAGGTTTAAAGGTAGGAATGATAATATAACGAATCAGACATTATTATCCTATATATCATTACACAACTGATTCTACATCATGTACAGTCAGAAGAATGAGAAGTTATATTCAATTTATATATGATGTGCCAAAATGTATTCTATTGTCATATATAACTAATTATAACAAAAATTTTTTAAAATAACCGAGACAAAGAGATGGGTCCTTTGATTTTCTATCCCCTTTTTCTCTTTCCACACTTCTGGCTCTAATTTGGTTCCTTTGTTGCCATGGTAGCCAACAGTCTCAGAACACAGACTTCTGACAGTTGTACCTCTTAGTTACTGGACTTAGGATCTGAGAGACTTCAGTTTTCTTGTGTATGCCTCAGGAGTTGGCAGCATCTCCTTCCACAGGAAATCACAAGAGCCAGACGTGACAGTCTCCAATGTGTGTGTGAGAGACAGACAGAGACAGAGAGAGACAGAGACAGAAAGCAATTTTGTGTGTATTCTCTCTCCCAATGACTTGCTAGAGCATCACAGAAAATGTTGGACTAAAGATGCCATCAGATGAGGGGATGATGATCAATTAAATAGTTGTATTCTTTCTAGAAAGTAATTTAGTATCAATTATCATTACTTTAATATATTTGTAATCTTTAATCCAATAATCTAACCTATTGGACTATGAAAATACAGGCAGAAATTTGTGCATAAAGGGGATTTACTATCATTAATAAGACCATTGTTAATGATCTTAATAATCTAAGGGTCATTGATTACCTAAATTAGTGATCATTAATAGGTGATCTCCAAAAAGGGTTCATGAGAAAGTGGTTAAGAATTACAGAAGAAGGCTGGGGTTGTGGCTCAGTGGTTGAGTGCTTGCCTCGCATATTTGAGGCACTGGATTCAATCCTCAGCACCACATAAAAATAAACAAACAAAAAAAGAATTACAGAGACCCATATATGTGTCTCCTGCAGGCTGTGCCATAAAATTGAGTAATTTCACATTCTTTGAGTGACATGCACATATATATGGATGAGTGCATACAAGTTCAAATGTACATATAGGTATGTATATGTAAAGAAGGAGAAGATTCTAAAGAAATCCACAAAACTCTTTTCCTGCTGTTATCATCCCAGATGGTGGGATGGGGTATTTAACTTTCATCTTCCTACTTTCCTGTATTTTTCAAATTTTATACAACTATCTTTTATGATTGGCACTTCTTCCAACTGCAGAAAGAGGACAAAGCAGGAGAGGTATCAGGTGGAGGTGCTCAGTGCAGAGGGTTATTATACAATAGAAAAAGTTTTTAAAGAGAAAGAACTGCCTCTTCTGCTCTTGACTAGAGAGTGCAAACATAGGATGCTCTTCTGCCCGAGTGGGATAGTTCTGAATGGGAAATGGATTAGATTTATCTGCTGAACTACACGACCCTCTTCTCAACTTCACCTGTTAATGCTTTTCTGTTGAAGTTTCCAGTGCTGAGGGAAACTGGGCGCCTGAGCCCTTGGACTCCATGGGAGACTCATCGTTGGGCAGCAGCCCTGACGTGGAGCAGTGTGTTTTGGAATCCTCATCCAACCAGAGCCTCTCTGTGGGCTATTTCCCCCATGATGACGGTATTGACTGTGAGGACATCATACCTTGTGAAGAGCTGACTTCTGAGGGTCCCTCCTGCCACGTGCTGCCTCCTGTCCAAGGGGCATGGGGAAGCGAAAGTGTAATTAAACCTGTGGAGAGACAAAATCCAATTCAGGAGAACCCAGAGAAGCCTGGCGAAGAAGCCATCCTCGAGGTCTTGGATGCCTATCTGGAGTGGCACCAGGAAGACTCGGGAGCTAATGGGACTCCCAAGGAAGACTCCCAGAGGATGGACGAGTGCCCACAGGAGAGCATAAACCAGACCCTCTGGGACGTGGATGAGCTCATGAAAGATCTGGAGGCATTTATGGAGAGTCAGAAGGTTGACCAAGACCATGGCTCTGAGCTGTTCGATTCTCCTCCTGCGGAGGATCTCCAGCCGTGCACCAGTGCCTCTTCCGATATGGATCAGGTCAGTGACCAAGAATCTGAAGCTTGTGAGGACTTGCCCAAGTGTGACCCACCAGAAAACGGAGACATGGACCAGTTCCCAGAAATGCCTCCTGAGCTTGAGGACGACGAAATTGTTGAGGTGAGCACAAAGCAGCCTCAGTGCAGAGCAAGGGGTGGGTCAGGGAGGGGGATGCCAGGTGGGACAGCTCAGGGTCATTCTACCTGCTGTGAAGCCGGTAGACCTGAGTCTCTCAGCAGATGAGCAATGGGGGAAGGAGAACAGCAAGGAAAGGAGCCAGGGAAGAGGTGTAGGGAAAGTGCCAAGGAGCACGGAGAGAAAGAGAGGGGAGGAACAAAGAGAAGGACTAACGATAATACAAATGTGTGTGTGCGAGTGTGCATGTGTGCGTGTGTGCGTGTGTGTGTGTGTGTGTGTGTGTGCTTAATGATTCACGTGTACAGAAACTTTGCGTTTACACTTGGCTATTTCTGTTAAAACAATAAATCAGTATCCATAAAGGAGTAAATATTGACTCCACTGCTTCTGACGTGGCTTGTCCATCCCTCACCCTCTCTGTCTTGGCAGATGGAAAGCCAGGAGATCTGCACTGCAGAGACCTCAGTCTCCTCAGAGCCGTCCAAGGAGGAGGACGGGCCTTCAGAGGAAGAAAACACGTGCTGTCTGAACTTGAGCTTAGGCTTCAAGTGGCTCAGGAAGCGAGTGGTCTCTGCCCTGACAGGGAGAAATCGCCCCCGGAGGGCCAACAACAGCTCCATTCTGCTGTCAATAAGGAGAAGACATTTATTTGGAGGCAATAAAGTCCATCCTCAAGAATCCCTCTAGTTAGGACCCCCTGTCTACCCAGAATTCTAATCATTTTCATAGTTCCTTCTGTACAGTTACCATGGTTTTATGTTTCCCAATAAACACAACAAATGTTCTTGTTATCCATCCATGTCTTTCTCTTCTTCCATCATAACATCTGGGCCCAGGTTGAAAGTACATATGTTGCCTGGAAGACTGAAATTCATTCTCAGGACATTTTAGATAGTATTATGCTTCCTAAATACAAAGCATGGTTTTCTCTCTCTCTCCCTGTACCCCTTCTACTCTTTTTCCTCTCACTTGATCTATGATTTTTATCATTAACTCATACCTGCACTGTCAGAGGCAGCAAGACACCTGGGACTCCCACATGGCAGGATGGTACTGGTGGAACTTCTGGTCTTGAGCAAGTGGCAGTGGGCAGTGAGCCACTGGGAAGTTCACTTCAGTCAGTAGTGTTCAGACTCTCAGAAAGCAGTTCTGATGACCCTGGGGAATCAGACTGGTTCTGGCATGTTATTCTAAAATGTTCTGACATGTTGATGGGTTCTAGCAAGTTGGCTGGCATAAGAGGCCCATGGAGGAGGATGCTAAGGGCTGGGAATGCTGCTGAACCTCCCTACGCCTGGCTTTCTTCATTCATGAGATATAGTGAATTATACCGCAGACCTCAGAGAGTTTGTAGGAGAATGAATGTGATAAAGTAAGTACTCAGTAAATACTGTGACTGATGCTGGTGGTGGTCATGTTCCTGAGAATCTCCCAGGAAGACTTGATTTAAGGTGTATCCAAGAGAGAGATTTGGAGTCAATTCTCATTGAGTTATTTCCTGCACTTAAGCCATTTGACCAAAACTTTCAGCAGATCTTGATTGACCCGAGTCCTCTCTCAATCTACTGCACTGTGTCCTCTGAAATTCCTTTGTGTCATTAAAATTGTCTCTACAGATCAACTTCTTTGAGGAAGCCTGGACACATCCTTCTTGCTGACTCTTCCTGTGTTGCCAGTTCACCTCCCATGGCCACCATCATCTTCCTCACTCATCCACAGGTTCCTGTAAAGGTCTTTCTCCTCAGGCTTGTACCCACAGTGACCTTTGGTGTTTATCTTGTGAAAAGCCTCTGAGTATTTAGTGTAAAAGGCCTTCCTTTCCTCAATTTCACTCTCCTTAACTCCTTCCTCTTTTCCACAGACAATGAGCACATAGAAACCTCACTAACTGAAAATATGCCCCCCCCACCACAAAAAAGTCTAGATCTCTAAGCTCAAAGGACTCCTTATTCAAGAGTTCAAGCCATGTAAACATATGACCATAATTGGTTGTGGCTGAGAGTAGTCTGTAGCAGGTATATGGAAAGAGGCAGTAAAGAAAGAATAATTTAGCATGGGAGGGATGATTTTGAAAGTGTTCATCTAAAGTATCACATAAAGTCCAGTTACAATGATCTTTTTTTCCTGCATTTTTGATTGTTACACAATTTTTATGTGTACAATTCAGATATATTGAGTATATTCCTACCTCTGTATGTTTTAAAGCAATATATTAATATGAAAGAGCAATAAAGCATGCACAACATAAACATCAAGTTGAGAATAATGATTGAGAGGGATGTGGGACACAAAGGGAACAGCAAAGAGGGAAAACATGGGCCTAAGTTTTATCAACCATATACTTTTATTAAAAAATAATCAAATATGACAAAATGTTAAGGTCTTACAAACTGAGTTGTAATATATGAGTGTTTCTTATATATAATTTTTCCATATTTTTATGTATTTTTCTTTTACTTTTTATCTCAACATCAGTTTATACTTCCAGACAAATTGCAAGTGTACTGGATGGGCATCCATATCCTGCAGTCCACTGCTCCAATGTTGACATCTTATATAACTAGCACAATGAGCAATTGGGATATTAACTGTGGTGAAATACCATTAACTAAGAGAAAAACTGAGAAACTGATGTGACTCCATTTTTGAGAAACCAGTTCTAAAGTTTATATGGTGATGCAAAAGATCCAAAATAACCAACATAACTTTTAAGGAAAATATCTGGAGGATCAACCTCACCCAACTTCAAGACATATTATAAAGTTATAGTAATCAAGACAGTAACATTGGTGAAAGAACAAACAGATCAATGAAACAGAGTAAACAGTCCAGGAATTGACCCACAAAGATATAGTCAACTAATCTTTGACAAAGGAACAAGACAATGCAATGGAGAAATGGTAGTCTTTTCAACAAATGATACTGAAACAACAAATGATACTGAATATCTTCATTAAAAAAAAAATCCAAAGACCTTACATCTTCACAAAAATTACCTCAAAATGTAAAACATACAACTAAAAAAACTCTCAAAAATAATGTAAAATTATAGTATATAATGTAAAATTATCATTGTAGGAGAAAATCTAGAAAATAAGGAATTGTTGATGACTTTTTAGATATACCATAAAGACAGAATACATGAAAGAAAGAACTGATAAGCTGGAATAATTTAAAATTTCTGCTTTGTCAAGACAATAAAAAGGCCAGATGAGGTGGTACATGCCTATAATCCCAGCTAGTCAGGAGTCTGAAGCAGGAGAATCACACATTTCTGGACAACCTGGGCAACTTAGTGAGAGAGTATCTCTAGACAAAAAATAAAAAGGTATGGGGATATAACTCAGTATTAGAGGGCCTCTGGGTTCAAACCCTAGCAGTAGAGAAAGAGAGGAGGACTGGGAGAGAGAGAGAGAGACAAAAGAAAGAGGTGGGGGGGAGACTGGGATTGTGGCTCAGTGCTAGAGTACTAGCCTAGCATGGGCGGGACTCCGTTCGGTCCTCAGCACCACATAAAAAAATAAATAAATAAAGCCATTGTGTTGTGTCCATCTACAAAAAAAATTTAATTAATTAATTAATTAAAAAAAGAAAGAGGTGGCGAGGTGGGAGAGAGAGAGAGAAAGGAAAGACAATTTAAAAAAGCCTTTTTTTGGAGAAAATATTTGAAAAATATATAATGGATTAAAGACTATTATCCAAAGTATGCCAAAAGTGTGCAAAGAACTTTTCAAACTCAGCAATAAGGAAACAAGCAACTTGATTAAAAAATGGACCAAAATGCCTTGATACCTCACCAAAGAAGATATACAAATGGTAAATATACACAAAAGAATCACAACATTATTTGTCACAAAGAAAATACAAAGACAATGAAATACTACTTACTATAGTCTGAATATGTCCCTCATAGTTCATGTACTGAAACTTAATCTCCAGTGTAACACTTCTAGGAGGTGGGGCCTTTGGGGACATGTTCATTACTTTTCATGAATGGAATAATGCTGTCATAGAAGGATTTGATAAAGGCAGTACATCCATTTTTGTCCCTCCATCTTGTGTTATATAAGGACACAGTGTTCCTTCACTCTGGAGGATACAGAAAGGCATCTATTGAAAGCAGAGCAAGTGAACCTCACCAAACATTAAACTTCGTAACACCTTGATTTTGGACTTCCTAGCCTCCAGAGTATGAGAAAATTCTGTTCTTTATAAGTCACCAGTTTTAGGTATTCTGTTATAGCAGCCCAAACAGAATAAGACATCACTGCTATTAGAATGACCAAAATATGGAACACTGATAATATCAAATGCTGGCAAGAAAAAGGAACATTTCATTGATTGCAATTTCAAATCTAAAATGGTGCAGTTACTTTGGAAGACAATTTGCTGATTTCTTATGAAACCAAACATACTCTTGACATATCATATATAACCATGGTTTTTGGTGTTTACCAAAAGAAGTTGAAAACTTTCATCCATTTAAAAATCTATACATGTATGACTACAGAAGCTTAATTCATAATTGTCAAAACTTGAAAATAAACAAGATGTCCTTCAGCAACTGAATGGATGATTCAGTTTATCAATAGATAAACTGTGGTACATCAAACAATGGAAATTATTCAGTATTAAAAAGAAACGTGCCAGGTGCTGTGGTGTAGGTCTGTAATCCAGCAGCTCAGGAGGCTGAGGCAGGAGGACTGCAAGTTCAGAGCAAGCCTCAGCAAAAGCATGACACAACTCAGCGAAACCCTGTTTCTAAATAAAATACAATATAGAGCTGGAGATGTGGCTCAGTGGTTAAGTGCTCCTGAGTTCAATCCTCAGTACCCACCCTTCCCCAAAAGAAAGAAATGTATTATCAAACTATGAAAAAATGTGAAGGAAACTTAAATGAATACCACTAAATGAAAGAAGCCAGTCTAAAATGTTATTTGCTCTCATTCCAACAATATGACATTCTGGAAAAGACAAAACTATGGATATATATATGCTATATCCATATCCATATATATGGTTTCTAGTGGTTGGAGGGAAGTGATGAATAGGCAGAACTAAGGGGATTTTAAGCCAATGAAACTATTCTTGATGCTACCATAATGATGGATACATGTCATTATACATTTGTCAAAACCCACAGAATGTATAATACTGAGCTGTAATGCTAACTATGGACTCTGTAAGGTTATGATGTGTCCATGTAAGTTCATCAGTTGTAACAAACACACCAATCTGGCAGGGGGACGTTGATAATGGGAAAGTATATCCACACGTGAGAAAAGGAAGTACATGAAAAATCTCTGCATCCTTTCTTTAATTCTACTATCAGCCTAAAATGTCTCTTAAAAAATAAGGTCTATTAAAACAATTTTGTTTAGGTTTAAATATGTTAACATAGAAATTTAGTACCATGTTGCATTAAGAAAAGAAAGAAAAGGGTGTAATTTGATTCGTATTTTTTTAGAATGCAAAATACTTTATATAATTGTGTGAGAGTCTGGAACTTTTGAGGAAAGAGACTATTATGTGTCTATTATTGTTAATAATAGACACATCCAGTGGGTGGGGATAGACATCAAGAGGAAAAACTAGGAATTTTTTATTTGTGTATGTCCTTATTCTTTTGAAAGCTACAGAGAATGCTTACAAGAATTCTAAAATATCTTTTCAAGAGAAAAAAGATTGCATAATGAATTATTTAAATGGCTGTGTTAGCTCCTAAAACAATTCTTCTACAAGTAACAACTCTTCTACTGACAAAATTTTGACAAATTGCAAATGTTTGGAGATTC